GGTTCGAACAGGTCAAAATCTGTTCGAAAACAAAAGAAAAGGTCCAAACGTTTTTAGGAGCTCAGCCTCTGGGCCTGAATCTGGCCCTGGCCCTAGAAGCGTGTACCTGGCCACAAAACGGACAACAGTACACCCGTTAGAAAAACAGCAGCAAATAAATAAAATAAAGACTATAAAAATAATCTAAAGCTGGCGATTTTCTGATGCAGGCCCAAGTAAAAATGCCATAGGGCCTTCAGGTTGCGGTGACGCAACCTGGGGGCCCTATTCCAACCTCGGGTCCCATGAGGGGCCCGTGTGTAGGCTTTCAGCATGTAACAGAGAGAGAGAGAGAGAGAGTGGCATGCTTCGCAGCCACACGGGCCTGCAGGGCCCGACCAGCAGTCTCAGCCTAAGCGCCTGAAAACAAGGGCCTACAGGTCCTGTGTCGTTTCAACCTAAAAGGGCCCTCCAGGCCCTGAGTCTTTTCAGCCTGAAACGGAGGGCCATTTTCAGGTCCTCATAAGATCGACCTGCCCTGAAACTTAGGCATCGGACCAGGGTAACCGTTTTAGCACAGGCCATATTGGGCCTGTTTTCAAGACAACCTTTGTTTGAACTTCAATGCCAGGGTCTGGCACGTCTTGGCATTGGCAAGAGCAGCCTCCTAGACGGGCCAGCTCTATATAAGACTGGCCCGCCCTGCAGGCTGTAGGTAGTTCATAGGGACTTCTCAGGCACTTCACGTGCAGTTCAGGAGGCAGGAGGTAGTCTTTAGGATTCGGCAGCAGCACTCTAGAGGACCGCTGCAGTAGTGGTAGTACCGTTAGCAGTAGTCTTCAGCGCTGGGCGCTAATAGGAGCTAGAGTAGCATTAGGGAGAGAGAGATGGTTGGTGGAGGCCAGGGAGACTTACCTGTGGCGCCATAGCTCCAGCTTCGTCTTCGATGTACCTGCAACAAGGCGCCACTTTCACAGGTTAGTGCCAAAGAGAGAGAGAGAGAGAGAGAGAGAGAGAGAGAGAGAGAGAGAGAGAGAGAGAGAGAGAGAGAGAGAGTTCTTCTTCTTCCTCCTCTAAGTCCACCATCTCTCCCTCACCTTCTCGCTACCTAACTTCTCAGTATCTGCAGACTACGGGAGAGAGTGAGATTGGTGACTTTGGGACTTGACGACATTTGGATACAGACTCGACTTTGGGACAGAGACATCGACGAGGGACTATTTGGGATCGATACCGACTACACTTGTGTGACGACATTCCCATCTTCTCCCTATTCTTCGTCTGATCCCCCTCCTCTTCGTCTGTGTACAATTTGGGGCTGGCACATTCTTTCTGTGTGAAGCGCCAGGCCCCTTCACACCTGGTGATGAGGATGATGTATGTCTGGTCTGCATTGCAACATTGATTGGTCTGATCATTGGTATATTAGCCTTCCGCTGCGCTATCATATACTATGCGAGAGAGGTCGGTTCTTGTTCTGGTATGTACCATTACGGTGTGAGGAAACCCGGGGAGGGGGCCCTGTCCGTCGCTGTAGCCAGGGACAGCGACGTCTGTCACCCGCCGTGCCCGCTTCAGAGGTCCTCAGTGGCAGATCAGAGGCTGGGGTTTGAGTGGCCTGTCACGTGCATCTCTTGAGACTGAACTTAATACGACTTCGTTACATACGGATTTTGCACGAACTTTTAACGAAAATAGATTAAGTCCGTCTAGCCTGCAGATCTGGGATCCCGAGCTGAATTCCCTCTTAGGGGTTATCTTGCCGATTCTCAGATTTGCAGGGGTCTAATCAGATTACACGTCCTCCAATAAATGAGACTTGAAATTGACTTGAATTTCGGGGGGGGGCTCAGCAATTGACCATTGATTTGAAGAACTCGGCAAAAACTGTCAGCACGGACTAATCAGCTATTTGACGCAGACAGGACTCGAAGATAATCCAATCAAAATCACAGGGGTAAGTCTCAGTTTCCAGCGAAAATAGAATTATTTCAGCAACTTGTCCATGCAGAACAAGCAGACCTCATCCACTTCACCCGCAAGCTATGCTGATGCTGATGCTGATGATGACGATGATCATGAATTATCATAGATAATCGCCTCCTTCTCACCCGGTTTAAATTTTGGAGGCAAGCTGCCCCTGCATTCGCTCAATGGATCATTCATGCCCTGCTGGCCAAAATTCGAATGTATATGGACGAGCTTCAAGCTAGGCAACAAAAGAAAATATATATGTATGGCAGTTCTATTTGTGACGATATATATATATATATTAAACTCCGACGAAACAGTTTGTCACAGCCCCTCATTTGTTGTCCTCTTCTCCCTCTCTGCCTACGGTTTACCGGGCAGTTCTATTTGACGATATATATATTCGAATGTATTCAGCCTCCTGATGAGCCGGTGAAACTCCAACGAAACAGTTTGTCACAGCCCCTCGTTTGTTGTCCTCTTCTCTCTCTGTGCCTACGGTTTTACCGGGCAGTTCTGTTTGCGACGATATATATATAAAATATATATATCTTCCTTCCCTACGTGCGCCCTTCCCTCACTCTCTCTACCGCTCTCACGTTAACTCCCTCGGTTACCCACCATTGCTCTCTCTTGTGCACTGATTAGAAGCCTTCCCCCGCTGCACCGGTATACCGCTAGCTCAGGCTCAAATAAACCTGGCCGCATCGACAGCCAGGTGAATTACATAGAACACCAAGTAATCAGTCCAGTGTCCTCTCCCTTTGACACTCCCTTTCTCTATCACTCTTTCTCTCTTACACGTACGCACAAACCTGTTCTCTCCCCTCCTTTAGTTCTCACACTTACTTGCAATTAAACTTACCTGTTCACTTGACATAGCTGTCTCGTCGAAGTGCCTGAT